GCCTTCCAGAGCAGCAGCGCCGTCTCTGACCACGGTCCTAAGGTCACTGACTGGCCCAGTGCTTACCCCGCGATCACACGTGAGGCTCCCAACCCCAGCCCCAGCAGCCTGCCTGGCAGAGGCCGCCCTGACCCACACCACAGAGCCTGTCTCAGAACCCACCAGCTCAACCGCACGCTCAACGGTGTCACAGTGACAAGTCCCTCGGGCACCCTGCACCCCTGGACAAGCACGAAGGTGACGCCCAGTCTGAGGGACAGCCAAGGCCAAACTTCTGGAACCCGCCCCGGCTCACGACCCTTGGGAGCCGCCCACAGCTTCCTCCCAGCTCCCCTCGGCCCATCTGCAGGGGTCAATAGCTCTGGCCAGCCTTGGCCCAGCCTCAGGCCCGCAGGCTCTGGCTCCGGAACTCGGGAGAGGAGCTGGTGTCACACGCAGGCTCCGGCCGGGGACAGCGACCCAGGAAACTAACTCCCCACGGTACAGCGGGTGTCAGGTGAGGCAGGGGGAGGCAGGGGAGCTCCCTGCTCTGCCACCTTGGCCTCACCCCTGAATGGCTTGTCACCCGGAAACCAGGAACAACCCAGTACCACCAGCCCGGCCACTGCCCTTCCCCATCCAGAAAGGGCATGGGGTAGGTACAGGCCACCTCAGGCAGCAGCTGGGTTCAGAGGGCACAGGAGGGAAAAGCTGGGCAGGACCAGCATCTCCCCAGGGACCCCCACCCCGCGCTGCCCCGCCCACCAGCTCAGTGGAGGCTGCTGCTCACACRTACAGCAGACCGCGCCACGGAGGAATGCCCTACCAAAGGCCAGCACCGGGGACGGCTTCAAGGTGACTCCCGACTTCCAGGCTCCCCTGCTCCTACCTGCCCCTGTGTCAACCTGCCTGTGCCTGTGAGTCACTCACCAGCAACTCAGCAGCCACTTGTGCACCTGCAAGCCGAGGATCACATCCCACCCGCCACACAGGAGAAAACGCCACCTTCCGGCTTCCTACAGGGACAAGGCCTTAGCACTGGGTTAAAAGTCACAGGCGGCCAGCCCGACTCCCGGGGACCTGCATCTGACAGAGGTGAGCAGTGTCACRGGCTCAACTGTGCCCCCTCAAAATTCACAGGCTGAAGCCCGGAGCTCTAGCACCTCAGAATGAGGCTGCATCTGGAGGCTGAGCCTCCGAGGGTAAGAAGGTACGACGAGGTCCCACGGGTAGCTCTAACCCTAGAGGACAGAGTCCTTATCGGAAGACAGACCCATGGACTGGCTGAGGACACAGCAGAACACAAGGAGAAACCATCCCTGCCGCCACCTTAATCTTGGGCCTCGGCCTCCAGACGGCAGTCCCATCGTCCCCGGTGCTTTGAGGCCACCTGGGCGGACTGACACAGAAGCAGGCAGAGAAGGGCGCCCAGCCGCAGGTCACGACAAGGGCCCAGGCTCCACCAAGGCTCACACCATGGGAAGCTGGGTGGTTCTCGGTGACCTGTGCCATGGTGCTGCCAGCTCCAGTGACCTCCTCTGTCCTTAGTCCCCCAAGGGTTTGTGGTCATGGACTGGCTAGGCTAGGGGTCTGCAGGAGACTGCTGGGAAAAATGGGAATCAGCCACCGGTTAGGAGAAGACAGAGAAGACGCCGGAGTGGCGCCGCCCATCTGGCCTTCCGACAGCCGCCACGTCCACCAACTCCAGATCCCGGCAAGCCAGACCTCTGCAGGCACCAAGCCACGCGATCTGGAAATGCAGGGCCCAGTAGGTGACCAGATGGTTTAACAAGTAATCGCCATATGATGGGCCACTGGCGAAGACGGACAACTCATCGAGACAGCAAAGCAGGAAGGAGCAGCCAGTGACCAACTCTGGCAGGAAGGGGACGGGGCTCAGGTGAGGCTTCAAAGAGAAGGCGTCGCAGGGCCTCCAGGGCAGAACTGGAGTCCACGTGCAGGCGGCTCCCCAGCGAAGCGCAGAGGGTTGAGACAGCAGTGTGACATTGTGGGACAGGTCAGGAATCAGAAGCGGCCAGGCAAGAGGGCGGTGGAATACACAAGGACTTGCAGGCCAGCGGGACAGCTGGGCTGTGTCCTGAGGGTGGGAAGGTCCCCAGGAGCTCCCAGAGGAAACTCGGCTGCAGACGGGGCATCCAGACAGCAGGCCTGAGGGAGCGGCTCAGTGCCAACTCCCAAGCCGGACCCAACTTGGCCCTCGCCAAGGCCAAGCGGGCCTCCGGGTGAGTCCCTGTCCCGGGGCAGCCCCACTATGCTCCCCAGTCAGGCCCGGGGGTCAGACCTACTGGTTCTCTGGCGTTAGCACTTGAAGAGACAGCGTGAGGCCGCGGCACTAAAACCCCCACAAAGACACCAGGCCCTGGAGGCAGCAACCTCTCTGTTCAAACCAAAATGAGCCACCAACTTCAGCAAGGGAGAAGGCCTCGCTGGGGCCTCACTGTCTCCCTGGCCTACTTCCTGCCCATCGGGCTCTGTCCCCAGTTCAAAGTCTGATCTCAACAGGAGCTGGGTTGATCTTCCCACTTTTTTCCCACAGGACAGCCGGATACCCCAGCTGAGTTCCAAGGCTTTATGGGGATTTATAAGATGCAGCAGGGCTTCCACTTAGAATCTGAGCTGAGCCATTGGCAAGCCTCACCTTCCAGCCTACTCCCTGGAGCCTGTGACGGCCTCCCTGGCCAGACGGTGCCCCTCTGAAGCCAGGTCTGTGCTCATCCCCAGCGGCAAGGGAGGAACGACGGGTGTCCCTGGACCCGTGACCTCACTTCCTCAAGGCCACTTCTCTACACACACAGAGGATGACAAGAACCACCTTCAGATCATCTGATGAGATAATATTTATAAATGCTAAGAGCCCAGCATGTACTGCGCCCTGGGTTTGATCCCCAGGAGGGAAAAAAATCTTAAAAATTAAATAAAAAGCTAAGGAGGGGCTGGGGGTGTGGCTCAGTGGTAGAGCGCTTGCCTTGCACACATGAAGCACTGAGTTCAATCCTCAGCACCACATAAAAATAAATAAAGATATTGTACCAGCTACAACTAAAAAAATATTAAAAAAAAAACCAAGGAGTTGCACTCACGTTTATTAAAACCTTATGAAGAAAAAAAGAGAAAAAGAAGAGGAAGGAGGAGGAGGAGGAGCAGAAGCAGGGGGAGGAGCTGAGGAAGAGGGGGAGGAGGAGGGGGAGGAGGAGGGGGAGGAGGAGGGGGAGGAGGAGGGGGGAGAGGAGGGGAAAAGGGAAAAAATGGAGCAGATATCAGGAAAGGTAGGTTCAGGAGCTGAGTGCTCACACCGGGGGGGGGGGGGAGGGGGGGGAAGGAACCTCAGTGGAAGACAGGAGGCATTCAGCACTGAAAGACATATTTGAGACCCATGCCTATCTTCTAGTCCAGTCAGTCAGGACTGGCTCGGGCTCTGCGTGGATGGAGTCAGCAGCCTCAAGGGACCAGGAAAGGCAATGAAGAAAAATGGAAGACCTAGAACCCACGTTTGGCTCTGGAGAACTCTCATCTGGAGATGTTCATTGCATTAACTTCTGAGCAACACTCTCAGGCAGGGTGATGCATTTCTGCTACCTGCTATGAACTGGAAAAAAAAAAGCCCCAAGCTATGTTTAGGGGTGAAAGGAATGACTAGCTCTAATTTTCTCCATAAATGGAACCCCCTGGCCCAGCGGCCCTATTACTGAGAACCAGGATAAGTGCACTGCAGGAGGATAACGATAGGGTTCAATGAATTGAGAGTGAGAGAAAAACAGTTGTTCAGTTTAATTTANAGGAGGAGGGGGAGGAGCAGGAGGAGGAGGAGGAGCCAGGAGCAGGAAGAAATGTGGGGAGAAGGGAAAGAAACCCAAGGCAGATTGTCCTAAGTTCAAATCTCTGCTTAACCACTTGCCAGCTCCGTGGCCTTGGTAAAGTTACTCCACCTCTCTGAGCCTTGGTTTCCAACTCTGTGAAACAGGGAGCATTCTGTACCTTGCAAGGGGATCTTAGAAAGAAAACAGCTGGAGCCAGAAATTGGAACCACTGCTTTCTTGGCCTGGTGGCGCTGAAGGGAGTGTGTGCTAACCTTCCTTCAGAGGCCAGCCCCGCCACCCCAGATGGGGGTGAGCACGCTGCAGTAAAGACAGGCCTGTTGGTGGGGCACACCCATGCCCCCATTGACACTGCTCTCCTTCATGTCCCGGGGTGGTGGCAGAGCTCCCTCACCCAGCTGCGTCTCCCYTGGACAAAGGAGATGGGAGAGCCAGGCTCAGGCCGCCTGGCTGTAAGTGGGAACAAGGGCAGATGGTGTCCGTTGGCTCAAGAGCCCCGACGCCTTAGGAGCCTGCTGGAAAGGCCAGTTATTCTAAGCGTCTGAGCTGCAGCCTGCGCAGAGACAGCAGGCGCCTTCGGGAGCAGGACCAGAATGCATCTGAAGGCCTCTCGCTCTGCCAGAGACTCACTTAAAATTTTAAAAATTTAAAGCTTACCACCTCTCTGGGGTTCGCACTGTGCTAGGCTTTGGTTCCGAGGAGGACAGAGTAAAACCCCAAACCCTCAAATCAATGGACGGCGATCGATGCGCCCCCTCCACCCTGCCCGGGCTTCGCAGGGACTGAGCGGGAGCCGAGAGAAGCAGTCGGCGCTGCTGCTCCTCCTGCCAACGGTTCCAGATTGGGACAGGCGGAGGCTGGTGTCGAAATCTGTTTCTTTTTTTAACAAGGAATGGGACAGGGAAGCTGGCCAAGGAGCAGGTTGGCCCAAGGTCCCTACCAAGCACCCATGGACAAAAAGCCAAGGCACTGAAGGTGTTGGGCGGGTGTGGCCAAGGCCCACCGGGCTCCGGGAGGCACACAGACCCCCACCAGGGCTCCACAATGGTGGGGCTGTGGCACTAGAAGCCTCAAGTGTGGGGACAGGCAAAGGGCACCTGCCTCTTCTAGCAGACCAAGGCCCACGTCATCTGTCACCCTGAAATCGAAAAGCCCTGGTCCCCGCCGCTCAGTCCACTGTCTTACTTTTGCTGGGCAGCTCCTCTTGACCCAGGCCATTGGAGGGAGCCAGAGGGGCACTGCCACCCTCGTCCAAGGTCAGGATGAGGGGCACRTCGTCATCTAAGCTCACGGCCATGGTTTCCTCCCCACGGTCCTCAGGAGGCAATGGCCAGGGCTTCACACAGCTGCTCTTTCACAGCCACCGAGCCAGAGGTGCTTCTCAGAACCTCCTCCATGAGGGGCATCTTCTAGAGTCTGGAGGATAAAAAAGAAAGACAATTATTAAAACGTAGCCAGAGAGGACGAATGGGTTCTGGAGTTGGTATTGGTGATGGTGGCACGACCCCATGACTGCACTCGAAACCACTGAATTGTGGAGGCTGTGGTAAACGCGCAGCGCGTGAACTATTATCTCGATTTAAAAATAGTCACAAAAGTGTCATCTCTTTACGACATGGGGAAGGGCAGCCACAGAATGAAAAGTGCAGTTAGGGGAATGACATCTGGAGAGTGAGATAGGGCTGACCRGTTCCACCTCCACCACTCTTCACACTTAGCTGGGTGTGACTGTTGTAAAGATTTTGAAGACCACAAAAGAAAAAAAAAGCATTAAGATAATTAGTACTTAATACTCAGTGAGTATATGCTCTGTACAATTAAAAGTCCACTGAAGCCTCATAATCACCCTAGGGATAGGTACAATTACTATGACCGTTGCAGAAGGGGACACTTCCGGCACAGAGAGGTTAAATAACTTTCCTAAGAACACACAGATAGAACRACGCCAAGCTTTGAACCGTGCAGCCTGACCCCAATCCCATATTCCCAGGAGGCTACAACTCCTCCAAGTCCCCAAGCTCTTGTAGTTAGGCAGCACCTAACTTCAATACTAACGAAGAGTTAGCATGACAGGTCATCCACGATCGCTGATCTCTTTTTTCACTTTTTTTTCTTTTTAACTAACAACTTCCATATTGGTTTTACTAAGCAGCCTCTGAGACACACATACTCTCAAGATTACTCTGGACCATGGTGGTAAACAACATGCTCCCTTCTCATACAGACACTGTTCTCCTAAGGTTTAGGTGCTTGAGGAGGAAAGAAAAGGAGAAAGTAATTTTTTTTTAAATGATGTCCATATCACTCAGCAGAAGTGCTCATCCCTAACTCCCAATTTAAAACACTCAGAACTAGCCTGTTAGAGTTTCTATTTATACCTCCCCATTTCCGCCTAGGAGGGCCAAAAGAAATGCCGAGACTCAGCAGATCCATCTAAAGACCTTTGAACTTGAAAATCSAGTAGCAAGATCTTTCCTGGACTGTGACCTCTGAGCTCAATCAACATTGCCTCCAGATGGACCCGCTGAATGGCAACTGGGTAATTTTCTTTAATGAATCACCGAATACCTCTGAGCAGATCCCTGTGCATCACAGGGAACAGCACATCTTTTTAAAACAAGGAGGCAGAAGTAGATGGCTAAGCCTGTAGCTCTCCGCCCCGCAGACTTCCTGTGACAGGATTTTTTTTTTTTTAAAGTTTCCCCAGATCTGGGGATTGTTGGCTTTTAGATCTCACTAGAGGGAAGCAGAAGAGGAAATCTCAAATGAGACCCTACCTAATATTAGGCTGTCTTAAGAATTATGCTTCATTTTGGTTTTGGTTCAACATTTTTTTTTTCTTTTCTTCTTTTTTTCTTTTTGGTGCTAGGGTGAACCCGAGGCCTCAAACATGCTGAGCACATGTTCTACCACTGAGCTGTATCCTCAGTCCCTGGTTTAACTTTTTATCATGGATATTCTCAAACAAAAGTAGAAAGAATAGATTGAAGAACTTCCTTGTAGACATTTCTCAGCTTTGATGATTATCTCTCCGTTATTACTTTGAAGACAGGAGACTATTAACCCTCTCAACTCATCAAGGAGAGGTTTCTAAACTTTGTCAGGACAGAAAGTATCACCACAGTGAGTAGTGTTTGTGTTTTAGCTGTTTAACACACGCATGTGTTGCCCTAGCTCAGTGGCTCTCAACTGGGGTGATGTGGTCCAGGGAACACTAACAAGTTCTGGAGACATTTTGATTGTCATAAATTGGGAGTGATTGTTAGTAAGCAGAGGCCAGGGGTACCATTGAGCAGCCTATAATGCATAGCTGAGACCCCACACACCCACAGAAAGGATCATGAGGCTCAAAATGTGGAYAGTACTGCTGCTGACAAATTCAAACACCCCTCTTTACAGATTTGGAAACTGGGTCTTCGATTGGTCAACTTGCCCAACTCCCTAAACAGCAAGGAAAGTTGTGGCAGCCAGATTTCAATTCAGGCAGTCTGAACTCAGGGACTCTCCCAGCTTAAACCTTACCTTTTCCTCCCAGAACCGGTTCCCCAATTTGAATTCAAACCCATCATTTTACAGAGAGAAAAATGAGGCCCAGAGAGGGGAAGGGAATTGTCCAAGGTCACACAGTGGACCCGCAGAGCTGGAACTCGGGACTCCGGGGTCCTAGTCCACTGCTCCTTCCAAAGGCTCCGACTCTGCCTCTACAGAGGACCCGAAAGGTCACCCCTGGAGAAAGGGGACACTGAGTTGGCCAACACCGGCCGTCCGCTGGGGCAGCCTGCCCCGAGCACGAGTTTCCCGCGGGGTCACCTGGGGACTGCGGGGAGATGAGCGGGCTGAGGAAGGAAGAGGCAGGAGCGCCAGCTCCAGGTGCTCCAGGCTCCCATCAGGGTCCCCACGCGGGGGTCGCCCCAGGAAGCGGGAGGCAAAAGGGGTGCAAAGTGCCAGCCTAGGATGGAAGGGGGAAGCACAGCAGCGACTTCCCCGAGATCGCCCTGAGCCCCCGAGTCCACCACCCACACCGGCTGCCCTGCCGCGACCCCTTACTCCGGCAACCTTTGACCCCCGACCCCTGCCCTCTCCCTCGGGCCAAGTCCCCGCACCCTTGGATTCTTACACGCGCCGCCCCAGGAACCCGGACCGCACACCGGCGTCTGCACCGCGCAGCTCAGCCCGCCGGCGCCGCCACCAAAGCCCCGAGTCCAGAGCTGTTGCAGCCGCCACCGCCACCGCCACTTGAGCTGCTGCCACCACAGCAGCTGCGCCAGCTCTCCGATCCGCCGCCTACCGGCCCCTCAACCCCGCCGGCCCACCCCGTTTCCCTTCCGCCGTGGCCTATTGGCCACCCGGGCTGCCATATGAACTCTGATTGGTCAAGCCTCGCGTCCTTCCGCAGTTCTCGCCCACTGCTGGCGCCGGACTCGCCGCCCGCCTCTCTGGGAGGAGGCGGAACAAAGAAGCTCCGCCTCCCTCCCCCTCCCATACTCTCCGCGTTACTCGCTCGGCCCGAACCCGAGGGAGTCCCAGGTCTTTCAATTGGTGGAACGTCAGAGGGACGACGATCCTGATTGGTCAGAACCCAGGAGGTGGAGCTGACAGAGAGAAACCGGGAATTGAATGGTGAAACGGCAAGTCTGTCAGACACCGAGTCCCGCCTTCTGAGATTGGCGGGTAACCTAGCAACGCGGGGTCCACGGAGACAACAGTGCGTGGAGAAACCTGGAGCCCTCGGAGAAGGTGAGTAACCGGGCGGGGAAGCGTCCGCCGGGAGAAGGGTGGAGTGAGCTCTCGTCCAGCCTCCTTCGGCCCCCATAGAAATCAGCAGCCCCATCCCACCTTCAGTATCTTGCTCCCAGCCCCTGCCCCAGTCTGGACCTCCCTCTTGGTGCCTGCGAGGACCACAGGGCATCTACGGGGACCTGCCCTTACTCTGCCCCTTCCACCTGTCCCTTGCAAGGCCCTCGTCCCCAGACCCGAATACCAGTCGATYGGAGGCGCATCACACTGAACTTACTTCAAGTCAAACGTAGATGGAGGACTTGAGGGGGTACTTTTTAAGTCTGGCATCACCCCACCTAAGGACGACACATCCCCGAATGAGCATGCAAGGAAGGCATCTCGTTTGAGTGAGTGCTTAAAACAGAGTATTTTGGGCGCTGGAGGTATATATAACACAGTCAGCGGCAGAGTGCTTGCCTAGCATGTAGGAGGCCCTGGGTTCAATCCCCAGTACCACACATCCCCTAAAAAAAAAAAAAAAAAAAAAAAGTATTTTGATTATACAATTTATGTCTTTTGTATTTTGCAATCCTCCTGCCTCAGCCTCTCCAGCTCATACATTCTTAAGACAAAGTGTTGCTTGTAAGGATTAAATGAGATAAGGCTATAAAGAAGTTGGCATGGGCAACATAGTATGTGCTCAGCAAATAGTGGCAACCGTTTTTTTCCCCTAAAATACATCTGGCCTTAACTCTCCCGGCTTAAAACAGATCTGAGGAAATTCTCCTGGTCCCTGCCTTAAATATTCAGGTATCTACTGAGTGCCTACTATGGGTGCAGGGGGGTAGAGCAATCAATTTAAAAAGCTCCATTRCTCCCTTCATGGAGCACAGTCTAATATGGGAGATAATCAATAATGAAACAGTGTAGTATGAATGGAGAGTGAAGAAGTGGAAAAATTCCCTCCTCAAAATGCAACTATATAGTCCATTCATGGATGGATGGTTAAACACACTGTGGTATATCCACATAGTGGAATATTATTCAGCCATGAGACAGAATAAAATTCAGAAATATGCTACAACATGGGTGAAACATGTGTGAAAGGAAGTCAGACACAAAATGACAATTTTTATATGATTTCACTGATATAGAGACACATAGAGACAGAAAGTGGAACAGTGAGGAGTGGACAGTGGTGATGTTTGCACATAAATATGAATGCAACAATCTTTTTTTTTTTTGAGAGAGAGAGAGAGAGAGAATTTTAATATTTATTTTTTAGTTGTCGGCGGACACAACATCTTTGTATGTGGTGCTGAGGATTGAACCTGGGCCGCACGCACGCCAGGCGAGCACACTACCACTTGAGCCACATCCCCAGCCCTGAATGCAACGATCTTAATGCCCCTGAACTGTACCCTTACAGATTGTTAAAAGGGTAAACTTTGCTAGGTTTATTTTACCTGAATTAAAAAAAAAAAAAAAAAACTATGAAGCTGAATAAAACTTCCCACTGCACCTCCAGCACTCTGAAGACTGACCAAGGGCCTAGGACACACTGGCATGTTCATGAACCCAACTGAAACTGGGCTGGTGGTACTTACCTAGGCCTTCTCTGAACGCCTCCACCCCCAGCTCTGGCATGAGAGCTCCATGAGGGTTGGCGGCCTGTGACAACCAGCAGCGTCCCTGTCACTGCCTCCTGGGTCTCCCTTGATGTAGAGCCTGACTGGCTAAAGTGGCACTCTGTGTCAAAGAGGGCCAGTGGCTCCCACGGTCCAAGGTTTAGTCCTAGCTGGGCAAATGCTGGGCAGCAGACTTGGAGTTTGGGAACTGAGACGGCCATGGGCCTTAATAAGGCCAGCCACATACACAGCCCTGCCCAGCGGAGCCTGTGTAGACTCTCAGAGGAGAGGCCAGTAGGCCCAGAAGGAGCTCAAGTTCAGGTGGACTTGAAGATTGCATCTGCAGCCGAGAATGGAAGACTTATAGATTCAAAGTATTTAAGCACAAACTCTTACCAGTTTGGGGCTGAATTTTAAACTATAAGATACACGACCACAGAAGAAGTCAAGTTTAAAAAGGAAGGAAATCGCCAGGCACAGTGGCACACACCCGTGATCCTAGCGGCTCAGGAAGCTGAGGCAGGAGGATTGCCAGTTCAAAGCCAGCCTCAGCAACAGCGAGGCGCTAAGCAACTCAGTGAGACCCTGTCTCTAAATAAAATGCAAAATAGGGCCGAGGGTGTGGTTCAGTGGTTGAGTGCCTCTGGGCTCCATCCCCAGTACCCAAAAAAAAGGAAGGAAAAAATTAAGCGGAGTTGCACATTTAGAGGACACTGACTTGACAGATTTAGTGCAGGGAGTGACTGAGCCAACTCGCAAGCAAAACAAGAGCAACTGTCAACAGGGGAAAAAATTAGAATCACAGTTGCTACAATTATTGTCTGAAATTTCCAGCATTCAACAAATAGTTGTGAGATGAGCAAAGAAAGAAGAAATGCAAGCATACTCCAGAGCAAGGGAGGACAGAAACTATCTGTCTCCAGACGTCTGATYTATAGACAAAGACTTCAAAGCAGCTATTTTAAATACATTCAAAAGAAACCAGGCTTAAATTAAAAGAAGACATGGAAACAAGGACTCATCAATAGAAAATACCAGCATATTTTTCTCATGTTATCTCTTCACTAAAAAAAAATATAAGATTGTACAAAGCAGTATTTATAGCATGATGCTGTTAGATGTATAAAAAATGATATGATATTTGTGACAATAACTGGACAAAACTGGACTGGGGATGTGGCTCAGGAACAGAGCCCTTGCCTGGCTTGCGTGAGGTTCTATCCCTGACACCRGAAAGAGTTTTAAATTCACAAAATAAAGAAAGAGGAAGAAGAATCACTGCACCAACATTCTTTATATTACCAAAGTTAAGCTATTATTATTCTAAAATAGACTGATAAATTAAGATGCACATTATAATCCCTAGATCAACCCCTAAAACTAAAAAAAAAAAAAAAATAGCCAGGTGCATACCTATAATCCCAGCTGCTCAGGAGGCTAAGGCAGGAGCGTCCCAAGTTCAAGGCTGACCGGGGCAATGTAGCAAGACCCCTACCTCCACATTGTGAAAAGGTTGGAGATGGAGCTCAGTGGTAGAAATTAAGAGGGTCCAGTCCCCAGTACTGGGAAAGCAGAAACAGGAAAACCTCAAAAAATATCTTTAAAAAGACAGGAATTAAAAAATGCACTAAATACTTATTTAACATAATAAAAGGCAACTTAGCAGGGAAACAAAACTATATGTATGAGACAAATAAAAAAACAATAGAATGAGGTGGACAGCCAGCAGATAAGAATAACTGCATGTAAATAGATAAATGGAAATGATAAAAGCTTTAATCTAAAGGTGGGGATGGACAGGCATACCTTAGATTTGAAAGACACACATAGTTTGAAAGCAAACCACGCAAGGTCCCGCAGCTACGCAGCTAGGATACTATCAAACAAAACTAAGACAAGAGATATTATTAAAGCTGGGGTTGTGGCTTGGTGGTATAGCACTTGCCTAGCATGTGTGAGGCACTGGGTTTGATTCTCGGCACTGCATAAAAATAAATAAAATAAAGTCCATTGACAGCTAAGAAAATATTTTTTTTTTAAAGAAAGAGTAAGAGAGGAGAGAGAGAGAGAATTTTTTTTTAATATTTATTTTTTAGTTCTCGGCRGACACAACATCTTTGTTGGTATGTGGTGCTGAGGATCGAACCCGGGTCACACGCATACCAGGCGAGCGCGCTACCACTTGAGCCACATCCCCAGCCCAGAAAATATTTTTTTAAAAAAGAGAGAGATTATTAACCCAGTGAAGAACACTTAATATTGACAGGAGGAGGGTCCATACACCAGGAAACTGCAGCTAGGCTGACCTAGAAAATTAGGATGACAGATATTTGGGCTGGAGCTGAAGCTCAGTGGCAGAGTGCTTGCCTAGCATGTGTGAGGCCCTGAGTTCCAACCCCAGTACCCAAAAGAGAGAAAAGAAAAAAAGAAAAGGTTTACAGAAATAAGAGGTTTATTTTATTTTAATTTTGCACATGCTTGGCGAACACTGAGCTGCATCCCCAGCCCTTTTTATTTGATTTTGAGACATGGTCTCACTAAGTTGCCCAGTCTGGCCTCTAATTTGTGATCCTCCTACCTCAGCGTCCAGAGTCACTGGGATTACAGCCACACGTCATCATGCCTAGTGTCTCACAGAAATTAAAATTATAAAGGAATAGTATGGACGACTTTATACCCAAAAATAAGACAAATGAAGTAAACGAATTATTTAAAATGACTCAAGAAGAAAGAGAAATTTTGAATAGACTTATAACAAGAAATTGAGTTAGAAATTTGAAATTTTCCTTCAAATTAAAGCCCAGGACTAGGGGTCTTCACTTTGCATTCCATCATAAAGAAGAAATCATACTAATCCTACCCAAACTCTTTTAGTAAAGAGAGGCAGAGGAAATACTTCCCTTTGTCCTGCCCAAGCTGGTTTTCCCA